GATCTCTAACCATTTCCTCTTGGATTTCAGGGGGGCTATTTGGCTTCCTGTCTCTGTCTATCAGCTCTAGAGGCCAATACATTATACAGTAAAAGCAAAACAGAACACAAATTCAATGCTGTTATTGCAACAATCATGTTCTGTTTTAAAAAACCAAACACAGTTTCCTGATATCTGTCAATTATGCATACACAACCGCAGTGTTCACAGACTTACAGTACTTCAGAAGATTCTGTTTACATTTATCATGTGTCTGATTTGTCTTTCTGTCACTGTTTCCAATGTCCTTCGTAGTGTGTTCCAACTAATCCAATTTCCTAATTGATCTGAAAGTTAAGTGCATGGGGAAAATCTGTTGGATCCACAAAGTTCACGCCAACCACAGAGAACTGGATTTTTACAAAATTACAAAAGCTTTTAAATCAGTCTTACAGCAGGTACCTCATTTTAACCTTATCCATGGAGGGGTGATGTGTTCACGTAATTCTGAAAACCTCATGTAGGAAGGAGAACTGAGTCTGTCTCTGACTGTCATGTCTTGTTTTTTGACAGAGAAAAGGAGCAACTGAATGCACTACTCCAGGTGGCTCAGGTAAGCTTAACACTTACTCTTTTCGTATGTGTTTCCTGAGTGTCTCTGAAGGGTCCTTCACTGCCTACGCTTTGCTGGGAGCTGATAATGTTATTGTGGCAACACTGTTTGAAAAATGGATTTTGCCCGCTCAAAACCTGCAGGTGTTTGGCTTTGGTAAAGGTGCACAGAGTTAACAAGGTAGGGCATTTTTCAAGGTTTGTGTACTGCCTTGCATAGGTTCAATTTGAAAATTTCTGTATTGAACATGCAGCATCCTTTTTTATCTCTACTGCTTGATGACCTTGTGGTGTGCTACACGGTGACACAGTCTGTTTTGCTGGATTGTTGCCTGTAACAGTCACAATAAGAGTGCTGCCACAGCTAAAATAAACCCCTTGTAACCGATCTAATTGTTGGTACTTGACATACCAAAAAGCAGACCGCCTACCCTGAGGTGTGTGAAAATAGCTGTGTATCTCCTTATTTCTTTTCCTGAACTACTTGTTCCCCAGTTTGAGACCAGCTTTGTTCAGGAGAGGTGACAGATTACAGAAATGCATTCATCCACAAGAAAGAGTCAAGTAGAGAACAAGCAACAGGGTAACTAAAAAAACAAGGATTATGTCTTAAACAGACCAATTCATTGACTGCATTGCCAAAATGCTATCAAGAAGTACATGAAATCCTTTTGGAATTTATTTTTGCTTTTTCTCATGCGTGTATGCTTTCTCTCGTGTGTGTATGTTTTCAACATCCTCTGTGGAGGGGAGGGTGGTTTTATCTTATGGTTAAACATCAGTGAAAGTTGCCTTATCCTCTGTCTTTTATTATTGTGTATTTGCCATAAATTTCTTGTTACTTCAGTATGGAGAATAGAGTAAGACAGAGTCTTCAGCAGCCAACCATCATCAATCTAGTGATGCTAAAGAATACCAGGAAATTTCAGGTGGAGTTTTGATGAGGTGAGGTTGGAGTGAATTTGCTTCACTGCAAATATCCCTTCCAGCCCTAGATTCTGATGTTTAGACTCCCTATTCAGGAAGCAATGAAATCCCCCGATTTTTAAAATGAATTTCTGGGAAATCTTCAGCTCTTAAGCAGGCTATGCATATATGTACTCATATATAGTTGCTTTCTCCTATATATGTGAGTTAGTTCAAAAAGAAAGAACAGGCTTTCAGACTACTTTTATCCAACTTGCACTGTACAAAGAGCTGTAGCATGAGCTGCAGGCAGAGAGACTCTTCTAAGAATTCACTCATCCCAGTAAGCTTCTTTGTATAACGCTGTTATAAATTCTTTAAGGTGGAAGCAGTGAAGACTGAGGAGGTGGATATTCCCCTGCAAGAAGAAGAGAGACGTCAGATGGAGGAGATCTTAAGACTGGAGAAGGAGATTGAGAAATTGCAGCAACAGAAAGAGGATCACATGTCTGTCATCTCTGAAGACACCAGGAATGAAATCAACCGGCAGCGAGAAGAGGAGATCCAGAGGTTGGAAAAAGAGGCATCAAGGGTTGCCCAGGAGTTTTTGGAGCTGTTGGATTTTGGCAATCTGGATGAAAGTGTGCAGAACTTAGAGCACTCACTTTCTAGTGAAGGGACACTCAACATTGACTGCAGCCTGGTGGCACCACTGGCTGAAGAAGAAGTGGATGAGGGTTTTCATGCTGATGATGAAGGGCGGCCAACTTCCAGTTTGTTGGTCTCAAATCAGGATAGCGCAAGAAACAGCAATAACTACTCAAAGGAAGTTGTGGACACAAGCCTTTCACTTCTCCAGAGGGAAGTGGGAGAGGCTGTATCTGTTCCCAGACAACCTGTGGGAAGAACCACTAGCTCCAAGGAGCAGAGAGCCCTATCTGACCCAGCAGAAAGCATTTACAGCAGTGTCTCAGATACACAGAGGAGTAACAGTGGAGAGGCAGGAGAGCCAATTTACACTTCCCCTCCAGATGTGGAATCTGACTATGACCATGAGGAGTATGATGGCTATGGAGATGCAGGTAATGCCTCAGCTGAGCCTCTGAATGGTGAGGAGGGTCTGAGACACTCCCATGGTACCAGCCTGGACTCCAACCGTGGCAGCCTGGACTCGGTGAGAATCCCTCCCTTCACCTTTCTGGACATTAGTGTGACTGTTGATATTTATAACCTCCTTGGCTTCTTACTATATGCCTGCTTGCTCTGGGTATCGTTACTAGTCTCTAACTCTCTCACACATCAATAATCAGCTTGAAAAATAGGGAAGAGTTGTGGATAGGCTGAAGACCAGAGGGCTTGTGACTGTCTGGTGTCTACTGGTACACAAGCCAGCATACGAGTACCTATTTTAGATTGTTTCCATCACTGTATGTTAATGTAGCACCCTTTAGGAAGAATGAAAGCAGGCAGCTTCTATCTTGTAGGTATATGTTCTACCTCAGAGAGATTTCACGGAAGGGGCCTGAGCTTCCAGTGGGCACTGACATGAGGAAATGGGAAAGGCGGAAAAACAGGGGTTTGATTTGTCTCAATCGCTAAAACTTCTGTTGTTTTAGTTCTTTTCAGAATCAAGCATTTGTTTTCAGCTGCTGTGTGCAAGTTAAGCTATTATAAGGCTAGAAGAAATTACTGTGCTGATCCAGGCTGGGTCCCAGTGCACACAACCAAGACCAGTGAATCTTTTTGTTCCTACTGCAGGGACAATGGCAGGGTAGTAAAAGCTCTGGGCTATTAACCTCACACTTGAAGCATCTCAGCTTAGATCCTGCACTGGCTCTGGACTTCCTGAGTGCCCTCAGGCTAGCTGCTTAATATCACAACAATAAATCCCCTTGCAGAACAGGATGTCAGATAAGCCCACATAAGATTGTGATGAGTTCTGGTGTGAAGCCAATGACAGTCACAAAAATACTTCTGATAAATGATGTCCCTAAGAACAGAGACTTTAACTACAAAATATCTTTTAGAAAATGATTGATTTTTAATTTTTTTTCAGTAATTCAATTTACTTCCTTTGGTATGCTTCTGAGATGACAGACTGTGGCCTTTCTTAAAAAGTTGCATGATTTTTCCTGCTTGCATTTCCCTAATGTCAGCTGCCAGCCATCAAAATTTTTTATGATGTGATCTGCTTGAGTAAAGGTACCTTCTCTATGGGTATGTACTCACAGATCACTGTCAGGTAATCTTCAAGTCATGAATCATTCTGTCACAGCCTAGGCCAGTTTCTACCATTCTTCTTAAAATGTATAGAAGTGGAGGGTTTTATCAGGCTCGTCAGTGAGTAAGACTCATGAAAATTCCAGTCGATACTTTGTCATAGCATGAGCCACAGGAAGAAATAACCACAGCTGAGTCAAGATCTCATCAGTAGCTGCTGATCCAGGGGTACCTGGTTTTTGAAACCCTAATGGAAAGGGAGAGAGAATGGAAAAGGAATGAGATGAAAGAGAAGCACAGAGGGGTCAGAGAGAGGACAGAAGAGAAAATGAAAAGAAGCAACATGCATTTGAGGAAGGAAAAGGTCTAAGGAGCTGTCTTCATCAGTATTAAATTAATAAAGCCAATCAAAGAAGCTACATTTAAGGTAAAAGGAATGATAGAGTAATTTAGGATCCGTGTGTGAAGTACTTTCTTATGGCTGATGGCCATTATCTAGTTGGAGAACAGAGATGAGTAAATTCACTACTATGCTTTTTTTCCTACTCAACCCAAAGCAAGCCATTTCCTTGCTGGGGTTAGATCAGTGTTCTGTCTTGTCTGGCATCTTGTCCGGCATCTTGTCCTTTCTGCCATAAAAATCAGAAAACTACTTCAAAATGAAAATTTCTCTCTTAATCCCATTAATTTAGATTTTGCAAGGTGGGCTCTGCCTTGAAACGGGAAGCCTTGTTAGTTCAGGTAACTGGAGTTTTCAAGCCATGTGCACTGCCCTCTTTTCTGGTATGAAAATTCCATGTTCTTTCTGTAGGCACTAATGGGCAAGCTGTTAAGCCTCTAGTTTTACTGTATTGCTTTTTTTTGCAGTGGGGCTATGTGTAGTTTTACACCTTCTGATTATATGCCTTTTCTAACCTCGTTAATTTGCTCCTATCCTCCTGCAACCAGGAGAACCCAAGTAGCCTGTATTTCTTACTATTCTTTTAGTTTCTGGACAGTGAAGAAGAAGTGGATGTTTACATTGATACAGATGAAGAGTTCTGTAATGGGCGAGTGACTATCTTCAATGGCTCAGGACCACCCTATTTTCACAGTTACCTCTACATGAAAGGTAGGTAGCCTTTGCCAAAACCATGGATGGATGAAATGCAGGAAACCTGCTTTCCTCTTTTGTTTCTCCAGAATCATCATCTTGATTTGTTCTTAGTTCTCAGTTTATTCCTTCCTCCTCCCCCCCCCGCTACTTTTATTTAAAACAACAAATAAAGCAAAGAGCTAGGAGGTGGGTGTCAAGAATATTTTTGCCACTGGGACCTAATTGTGCTCACTTGGTATGGGCTTAAGTAACTCATTCTGAGCTACAAAACTGAAGACAGTATAAAAATATTTGAGTGGTGCATATATTTCTGTATTTTGTGTTTGTTTCACTACTTTGCTTTCTTTTTTTTCTCTGTCTGAAATGAAGTATAACCTCGTTTCTCTCCTTAGCTCCTTCATTTCATGTAGGAACTGAAGTGGCAACTAGTCCTGCCCAAGAAGCAGGATCAGAATGGAAACGTGGCCTTTGTGGCACATCTGATGAAATTTTGCTCCCTTGTTTTGCAGGAGGTCTCATGAACCCATGGAGGCGGCGCTGGTGTGTTCTGAAGAATGAGGCCTTCATGTGGTTCCGCACCAAGCAAGAGGCACTGAAGTCAGGCTGGCTCTATAAGAAAGGTGGAGGCATGTCAACACTTTCACGCCGCAACTGGAAACGCCGTTGGTTTGTGCTTCGAGAATCCAAGCTGATGTACTTTGAGAATGATAGTGAGGAAAAGCTGAAAGGGACAATTGATATCAGAAAGGCAAAGTGAGTGAAAAAATAAATCCCATTGATCCCTAGTATTCACTCCCTAAATCAATAATGAAGTGTCCAGTGCTGCCAGTTCATCAGCCTATGTATCTCTCGTGGGGCTCAGAGAATCAGAAATGAGGGAAGGAAAAGACAATTACAACTTCTAGTCTTACTCCGGAGAGAGTCTGGAATTACTTGGTAGCTCTTTTCCCAGTCTTGCATTTCGTAATCTGTCAGAAGCTCTTTCCAAGCCATGGATGGAGCCAGACCAGGAGGGGCTAATTAACTACATACCCCATGCATTCTCTCCTACCCAGGCTCCATCTGTTTTCTGGCTTCTCCAGGCATTTCACAGAGGTAGTATGAAGCTCACAGCGGGATTTGAATTTGGCAGCATGTACTGTGCCTTTCCCTGAGTCCTGAATGCTCTTTCTGCTGCCATAGTCAATACCTCAGCTCCTGCTGTAAGAAATGAGAGTCTAGTCACCTATTAGCATTATGCAGACCTGTAAGGTGCCAAAGAGTGGCACACCCGACTGCTGGTATCTTGAAGAAAATCCATGTAATGCCTTAAGCTTTGGTTTTTAACTGTACAAATCTTTTTTAATCATCTTAATATGTATTGGAGGATTTTTGTATTTCTGTCAGAGTTATAAGCCATCTGAACCAGTGATTTTCCTTCTGTCTGGTGAAGGGTATGATGTGAAAAAATCAGCCAGCTGGAATTTAGGCCTGTGAAAGTTTTTCAGTTTTGGCTCTTGTGTTTTCTTGTGTTCCAGAGAGATTGTGGACATTCATGAAAAGGAGAATGCTTTGGACATTGTGACAGAAGACAGAGTTTATCATATTGTTGCAGAGTCACCAGAAGATGCCAGGTATAAGAGGGAGTTTTGTTAGATTTGTTCATTCAGAGCAAGTCTGACCCAGGTACCCATGGGAGAGGCTGAGAAACATAATCACTTCCCTTTTGCTGGAGAAAAGGGGGGATTTCTTCCAGAGTGTCATTTCATGCTTCCTGGGAGGTACCACACCTACTTTGGGGACTGCCTGTTTCAGCTATGGAGGTGGTGGTTCAGCCTATCAGTCAGTCACAAGACTGCCACCTTCTCATGTGGCCGGGAGCATGCTGAACTCAAGGGTTACTTCAGGAGACACACAAACCTTAATATAAACTGAAACATCTAATAGTTAATTTATTTATTAAATGGAATCTTGAATCAAACAAAAAGTCTATTCATGTTGTCTGTAAATGATTGCAAGAGCAGCTGGGTTTTATCCAGGAGACAGAGAAAAGGCTGCAGCTTATCTGAGTCTGTAGTGTCATCTGATAAAGTCTTCCCAGTGCAAAGCAAACAGATGACTCATGTCCTTCCGTCTTGGCATCCTGGCCAGACGTTTGGAATCAGTTGTTTAAGTGCAGGTTGGACAACCTGTTCTGGCTATGCAGAGCCGAGTCAAGAGGTTACTGTCCCTAGCTGCTTGTGTCTTCCCACTTTTGCCACTTTTACCAAGGCTTCTGCTCTGTCTGCCCTGGCAGTGTAACTCTTTCTCTGATCTGCTGATTCTGTGAAGTTACCTAGGGTCTGTTATTATTTCATTTGGTGTAAGGAGAGGAAAGAGGAAGGTGTTTGGATACAGTTTAACAGAAATAGTCTAAAGAACAGCCACATGAACAAGAAACAGGCAAATTCAGGGGTTAGTAGCTGAAGAAACAGTATCCTCTTAACCCAGAACTTCCACAGTTGCCATACGCATGTCCTAACATAACACTCCAGAATTGTTAGGGCAAGTGTAAACCAAATGTGGCCTCTAATGCCCTATCAGTCTGTGTTCTGAGGAAGAAGAAAGCACCAGCACTTGCACTAGCAAAGGGGAGATTAGCAGATGTCATAGATTATCCAATTTGAGACTCCTCCATGAAGTCTAGATGTTTGCTGATCTCACTGGAAGCTGTAGATAAGAATCTGCTTGTTCTGCAACAGAGATAAGCCTCCAGATACGTCTGTAGTGAGAAGCCCTTTCACAGACAAAAAACTCCAAATTCACTTATAAACAAACCCATGATTAATTGCCAGCCATATGACTTTCAAGTTTATTAGCAGATCAGAGAAGAACTAGCTGAGAAGGCTCCCAGGTATCTCTAGGACTCTAGGAAGATTCACAGCTAACCGTATCTTTACGACTGCTGTGTGCTCTTCTCAGTCTGCTGACATGGGCTGCCTGTAAGGCCACTGCCTGCTTACAGTTCCTTGAATAACAAGTAGAAAACTGGATTTTGTGGGAGCAGCTGTCAGTGGGTTGGAGAACGTGCACAGAATTTTCATGGATAAATAAGGAGGAAGGAAGACATTAGAATGTGGTATGATCAGCCCAAGATATGTTTTGTAGCGTAGTACTCAGGAAATTGTGAATGAAGAAATTTTCCCAGTGGCAGCTTTCCAGGTTCCTCAATCATATTCTGGAGCTAGTTTCACTACCCAAATTTTAACTCTTCATCTGTTTCAATTGCCAGTGGTTGGTTTAATGTCCTGAGCCGAGTACACAGTGCTACAGCACAGCAGCTGAGGGAGATGCAGGATGAACAGGCCAATCCAAAGAATGCTGTGGTGAGTTACTGTGCAACCAGCCTGTGGGCGTGCTTGGAGCCCTCTGCATTTAACTATTGGTGCATTTTTTTTTTTCCAGTACATGCAGTGCTGTAGTTCATGAGCAGTATAAGAAAGTTGGACAGTTGTTATAAAGAATCGGCAAAGGTGATTGCAAAGAGGATATTGGGAAACATGGTGGCTGTGGTGGATGGTTCATCTTGATCACCAGCAGCTCTCTTTGGTTTGAGGAGAAGAGGCAGGCTGCCTCATACAGATAAAATGTCTTGATGGGACTAGTCTGGGTCACAGTTATTCCAGACAGAAGATAGCAGTTGGGAAGAACAGTGCATTTATGTATTTTGCCAGTACAGAGATACTAGCAAAGGTTATTTCAGACCTTCATAATGCTCTCTGGAAATTTGTAGCTCCCCCAGTCCTGTGGAGCCCTTGCACATCTTACGCTGTTTAGGGAGCAAAGATGACTCACTTCTGCCTTTCTCATATGTTCATTTCAACTCAAGCTATTGGAATTCAGAAGAATGTTTTCAGTTCTAGTCCTGTTCACAAAGGAGAATGTAATCTAAGATGCAATCTGTGTCTTTTTCACTGTACAGGGAACTCTGGATGTTGGACTTATTGACTCTGTCTGTGCCTCAGACAATCCTGATAGGTACGTACAGCAATCTGACCACCTCTTAAATCAGAAACTCTCTAACATATTTTTGTGGGTAGGTCCAGGTTTCCTTTGGGGTTCATATTTGGTTAAACTCAGAACACCTTTTCCTTCAAACAAATAAACGTAGATGAAATCTTTGCTTGTTTCGAGCCACGTCACTTCATAGTCATGAAGTTCACATATGTATTTTCTTCAAGTGAAAGTTTCTCCTTCCACTCCTGAAGGTGGAAACAGCATAATCTCAATGCCAAGAAATTATAGTCTCACCTACTGTTAACACTGAACAAATATATCCAGCAAAAGCAGCACTTCAGTTTTTCAACAGAGTAATTTTGAGTTAATCTTGTAAATTTAGGGAAAAGAAATAGCATTGTGGAAGAATAATGGATGAATTTAGAAATCTTTGCAATGCAACAGAGCACAGACTTTCACAGGTTGGTTAGCTTCAGAGAAGAGATTGTGGAACATTTCATAGCACTTTATGTTAACATTTAATTATCTCCCACATGTTAACAGGTTCATCCAGGGCAAAGATACTTACTACAGTGCAGAAGTAAAATGTTAGCTATTAAGTTATCTACCTCTGTGGTCTGTTTTTTTTTTCTCACACAGGTTGCCAGGACTTTGGTGTTAGTAGTTTAGAAAATGCATATCTCAGTAGTAAACTAAGATTTTGTTGATCAAAATGTTTTAGGCAGTTCTTGGCCTGTACTCCTTGTAATTAATCTGTGTACCAGTGAAAATTAGGGACAGATATTAAGCTCAACAGTCAAATATTTTGTGTGTATGTCCTGAGGTATGCTCTTCTGGAGTATCAGTGTTTGAATCAACATTGAGCAAATTCTGAGAAGCATGTTTATTTCTCAACCAGCATTTTTATGCAGCTCATTTTTATCTTCATAGGTTTATGCAATTTTCTGACAGTTGCTTGATTTGCACCTTTTACATTTTGCTTCATGCTTGGATTCTACTTTTCAATTTCTCTGTTACATCATAGAAACCTAGTTTTGCTTTCAAAGTTTTCTGAGGCTACTTGTATTTTTCCATTTTTCTGTAAAGCATCAATTCTGGTGAATATTCTTTTAGTAGGACACAGTTGTCTGTTGCAAGAGAAGGACAAAATCATCTAGGAGCAGCGTAACAGTTTTTCCTGTTTTGACAGGAGCAGCTCATCCTTTCTAAAACCAATCTGACACCCATTTTAGCTGATCCTATTGACACCTATATTTGTATTTCATCACTGTTTTTAATAAGTAGGATAATGACTGTAGTAGTTTAGCCTATTGGTACTAGCGCTAGCTCGGTCCAATCAGAGGTTAGAACAAAGTCCTTTCCTTATGAATCCAGAACATTTTATAGCTGTTTATTAGGTTCAGTAATATTTTCTAGTTTTTGGAAATAACTTCTGAAAGATACTTAATTTCATTTAGCTGGTCTCTGCATTCATCAGTTTGCAGACCAGCTGCACAGGGCATGACCCTAAGTATTTCTGCATTTCTGTGTAGTTTGTATTCAGGGAATCTTTCTGTATTGTTTATGGAAAGGTAAAAAACATGGCTTTGGGTGTGCTGGGAGTTGAGATATTTGCATGGTTCTGACCAATTTTAATGCTTTTGTTTTCTGGCAGACCGAATTCTTTTGTGATCATCACAGCAAATCGAGTGATTCACTGCAACAGCGACACCCCTGAGGAGATGCATCATTGGATCTCTCTGCTGCAGAAACCAAAAGGCGAATCTAAGGTCGATGGCCAGGAATTCCTTGTGAGAGGTGAAAGGAAATGCATGCAATTACATGTGAAACTCAACTTCTGTTTATAATCTGAAAGGGAGATTTGATTGCTGCTAACCCAATCTAGAGTTCAGCTGCTCCCCAAAAAAGCAGTCATTCTCTGCCCCTCCTCTACCTTCCTGCCTGCTGCTTGCCACATCCTGTGTGTGCTGGCCCTGGCTCTTATCTGATTCCCTGTCAGGTGGAAAAAAATAAGTACTTTGTGTTTAGTTTTCTGATGTTAGTTCCACAGCCTATTTAAACACGTCCAGCAAATGCCATCAGGAAATAGGAAGGAGCATGGCTGCTGCTTAGGAGCAGCTGGCTTAGATGCACTATAACATAACACTGTGGCTTTTGTTGTCAGAAGACTCTGTTCCTTCTGACAGCTGTCATGTAGACAGGGTGGGAGATCTTTGTGGGATTGCTGCTGTCCTCAGCTAAACTAACTAACCTGATTACAGTAGACAGAGGTGAGAAAAATTCTAAGCCTGAACTAAAGGTTTAAATTATGCCTTTAGTTTGGCTTAGTTGAAAATGGAGGAGCATGAGTAGTGATCACACATATGTTACAAAATATTCTCCTATTTGTCTTAAATATTATTTAATTTCCTTAATGCTTTCAGCTCATGACATGGTCTTAAATGTATGAAGACACTCCTGATCCAGTCTGTGGAAAGCAAGTGCATGAGCAAATTGCCTTACATATTCCGGGAAGTGTCTATGAAGGAATAAAAGTCTGAGAATGGTCATGGCAAGGCCAAAGGACAGGAAGAAAAGGGTCACGGAAATGTGGCATAAGCCTTCCATCCTAGTCTTAAAAATTTAAAGGGGATTGAATGATATGAAGCAGATTATCAGACAATAGTTTGAGCACTTTAAATTCAAAATACTTAATTGCAAGGCAACAGTTCCTTTTCCTTTTATCTTGTATCATTTATTAGTTAAAGAAAAAAAGAAATGATCCTTTGCAAAGTCAGTGTATACTCTGCTCTTCACAGTAAGATGTCTGTGTGGCAGCAGTGTAGCCACAAAGACATATCTCTCTGCTTTATATGGAACCTCTGGGCTCAGTCCCACACTGAAATTTTTGCCTTGTGGGTGGACATTGCTTTTTACACCTCTGAGTAGAAAATTGTCTTTTTGATAGCTTTAGCAATGCAGACTGTAATTTTTCCTCTGTTACAGCAATGTCTTTTCTTTTTCTCTTTTTTTTTCCCCTTTATTTTGCAATGAATCTAAAATGACAGTGAAATTATTTGTCCTGACCATGGGAGCAAGAGATGCATGTAATGATTACAGATCTTTCTACTAGAAGACATGTATCACTAAACCTCTTCCTTCAGGGTTTGGATCGACATTTGGTGTCTCTTGGGAAGAACAAATTGTAAATCATTTGTTCAGATGTTTGTGACTTGTGAGGGAAGCATCCTGAATAGAGGGTGGCCCTCATGGTGATGGTATTGGTGATGGCAGATCATTAATAAAAAAATACATAGGGCTGAAGGATGGATCAGCTTGGTGGAAAATTGTGGGCAAATTTCTTACAGTAATTGTGCAGGATACTGCTATAGCCAGTAAAGCAAAGCTGGTACAGCCTAGCATGAGCCTTTTTCAGAGAGGTCCCAGAGTTATGGAGCCACCAGGCAAGAGACAGGATTGCTATGGTGGTGAAACCACTGACATGTTTACATTTCTGTACTAGGCTGGCTTCATAAAGAGGTTCAGAGCAGCAACAAGATGTCCTCTCTGAAGATGAAGAAACGCTGGTTTGTTCTGACAAACACTGCCCTTGATTACTACAAGTCATCTGAGCGCACAGCTGCCAAGCTTGGCACACTTGTGCTCAATAGCCTCTGCTCTGTAGTGCAGCCTGACGAGAGGGTCTTCAAAGACACAGGTGAGAGGAAGAAAGCTGTAATGAGCAGACTCCATGTGTGGACCTCCTGAAGGATGGTGGAGGACTGTAATGGTGTGTCATGTTGAGAAGGCAGTCTTGATGTCATCTACAACTTTGTTTCTGGCTGCAAACATAGAAACCGTAAGAGACTTGCAAAGGGCCAGAGAGTACTATGCAAGTGATGGTCAGTCCCTCACTCCTGACAGAGATACACAGTGCTGATGTTTTACACTGAGTAGTGTCACTGTTTAGCTAAGTGTTTCCCAGATAAAGTAACAGGTTCTTATAGTTGACAGTGTAATGATTCGTACATCTCCATAAATAACTGTCACTTTGTAGCATGACCAACATTTGTTTCTAGAGTCAACGTTGTCCTCTCAAATAGCAGCAATGCCATACACTGTAAGTCTATTTTATAGCATCACTCAAATTGTTAGAAACAAAAGATGGCAAATCTGTGCAACCTGACAGTTCTGGGAAGGCAGGATCTGGCATGATCCTCCATTGCTTGCCTTATGAGTTTGGGGGGAACTCAGGCTGTGGGGTTAAGGGTGAATCCCCCTGACAAAGGAGGTGAGCCTTAGAACAAGACTTGAAATACTGGACATTTGAGTAGTGGAGTTACTTGGATACTTTTTAAAAGGGTGGGAAGCATTTAGTAAAGTGAGATGAGAGGAAATTTATTCTGCTCATTCACAAGAAATTGTCCACATTTTTGATCTCAACAGATGTCTAGGGCTGCCTTTAGCAAAGAGAATTGTCATCGCCTTGGCATGTTCTCTCACATTGTCAAACACATATTTTAAAAGTTATGAGAATCGATTTGGCAATCTGACTGGGTGCTGTGTGTAGAGTGGTCATTTTCTGAGTGATTAATAGCACGATGTAGCCCAAATGCTGTCTGTGAAAGTGAGCTGCCTGGTTGGCAGGCAAATAGTTGTGTTACACTGCAAGATACTTGTATCTTGGAAAGCTGTCTTTGTTCCAAAACCTGAATTGGGACCTGAATGGGGATGTTAATATCTACCTAGTCAATTTTAACCAGACACACCATATGTTGCTATCAAAGCAGCAAGGGTTTTCCTCAGCCCTGTACTACAAAGAGACAAAAAAACAATCATAGAATTATTAAGGGTGGAAACGATCTCTGAGTTAATTGTCAAGTCAAATCATTAACCTAACATTGTCAAGTCCACCACTAGGTCATGTCCCTGAGCACTACATCTATGCATCTTTCAAATGCATCCAGGGATGGGGACTCAACCACTTTCCTGGGCAGGCTGTTCCATGCCTTTGGAACAGGCTTCTTTCCTTGAATAAATTTTTCCTAATATTCAATGCAAACCTCACCTGGCACAGCTTGAGGCCAGTTCCTCCTCTCCTGTCACTTCTTACTTGGGAGAAGGGACTGACCCCCATCTGGCTACAACCTCCTTTCAGGTAGTTGTAGAGAGTGATAAGGTCCCTCCTGAGCCTTCTTTTCTCCAGGCTAAACACCCCCAGCTCCCTCAACCATTCCTCATAAGACTTGTGCTCCAGACAGACCCTTAACCAGCTTTGTTGCAGTTCTTTTACAGTCAAGATGATCTGCTCCATAATTCCCTGGTACTGAGGTCAGATTGACAGATCTGTAGTTTTCCAGATCCTCCTTCTGGTCCTTCTCGTAGGCAGGCATCACATTTGCCAACCTCTAGTCAACTACATCCTATGGAAGCAAGATTCACCTTCCAGCTTCTTTATTTCTCCACAGGCTATTGGAACATCATTGTCCATGGGCGAAAGCACTCCTACAGACTGTACACAAAGCTGCTGAATGAAGCTATGCGCTGGGCCTCTGCCATTCAAGGTGTCATTGACAGCAAAGTTCCCATAGAAACACCTACACAGCAACTCATTCGTGACATCAGGGTACGTGACATCATGCTGATTCCCAAGTGACTTGGGAGTAGCCAGATCACCACTGGCCTTACCCAGTCATTGTTCAGAATGTGGAAAGAAATGGAGTTGCTGTCTCAGGGGGAAAAAAGAAAATAATGATAAAAAGAAACCTAAACAATTGTGCAACAAAATAAACAAATGTTATATGAGTTTTATTTTGAATTATCGCATTATCTGATCAGTGTAAGTCTTGGCTACAGCTGTTTGCAGTTACAAATTGCATGCAGTGTTACACCATCAAGTATTTGCAAATCCCTGCTTCATCCTTTCCTCTCCTAAGCATCCTCTAGACACAAATACAAAAAGGTCCATTCTTACCAGCCATCTGACTTTGATGTACCCTGAAGTTCTCTTCATACCTTAGGCTTGTGTTGTTAAATGTCAAGAGTAGAGTGGAAAGAAAATATCCTTCAAAATACCAGAAATTGTGCCACTGTAACAGGAGTAATTTTTGAAAAAAAACCTGTCCATCAACTTTGGCAAATTAAACTTAGAATCATATTAGAAGACAGAAGACACACCAAAGCATATTACAGAAGAAATATGTATGTGATGAGCTCTAAACCAGATGCAATTAGATAGTATGTATTCAGAAATAGAGAGTGGGGAGTGGTTGTAGAGAATCTTGGAAAACTTCAGCTCAGGGTTCAAGGACAAATGGAACATCAAATATTGTTAGGGAAAGGATATAGGACAAAATGTGGAAGAATGTGATACCAGTGTGTATGGTAGTGACAGGCCCAGATTTTTAATGCCATGTGCAGCATTTTGGTTGTTCATTCTGTAAACACATGTAGCACAACCAGAGAAATTCAGGAGGACAGGCTCATTATTACATACTGAACAGGGTGGCTCAGTGGTCAGAAAGCCCATTAACCATTTACTATTGAAAGCCTGAAGGATATACAAGGCAGGAATCATGCCATACCTGCCTGTTATGTGCCTACTTTAGATATCAGCTGCCAGCCATGCTTGAAGGCAAGATTCTGTGCCTGGTGACCTTTGTTATGATGCAGCATGGCTGTTCTTGCGTTTAATGTTCAGAAATAATGTACAGAGCAATCTCCAGATGTGAATTGTGCTTTGGTCACCTAGTCCCTCTATGAACGTCCAAAAACTTAGACAAAAGTGGTTGAGCTTAAACCTAAATGTGTAAGTATATCCTGCAAAGGACTGTTCATATTCAAGGATAATTATTTTCTCTGTTTTTTTTTCAGGAAAACAGCACAAACTTTGAAGTAGTGGAACAGACATACAGGAGGAACCCAATCTTGCGATATACCCAGCACCCCTTGCATTCCCCATTGCTCCCACTACCATATGGAGATGTTAGTGTCAACTGTAAGTATTTTACCCAAGTGGCAGAATCTGCTTATGTTTTGAGGATCAGTGTGGAGCCTGAGCATCACAAAAGTGGTCTATAAGCTCTGTCTGTGCAGTTGAAGGTTATTTGGGGCAGTGTAGCCCACAGGGTTCAGAGAGGGAGCAGTCCCTTTCTCTCCATCATTCCTCTCTGGAAGGTGTTCTATGTCCAATGCCACATATCTTGGGAACGCTGAATTGTAAAGTAAATGGGGGCAGACAGTTTATCATCCACCAGGGGGACATGCAGCCTGTCATCCTTTAGCCTCAACTGGGTTGCAAGTGGCTCCAGTGGAAATACTACAACAGATTTACATCATGCAGCTGGTGGTGGGATAATATGCCTACAGAAGCCGCTCTAAAACCAGACTAAATGAATCCTTTCTTCAAATGCATCAGAAACAAGAAAGAGCAAGACTGATAGGCCACCAGAAAACCTACGTGATTTGCTGATGATTCGAGACTGTTTGACATACTGAAACTGAAAGCTACTGCTGAAGAACTATAGAAGAGTCTCTAATGTGGAGTGACTGAGACACAAAATCTTTTTCAGAAATTAATTTCGATCTGGATATGCAAAGCAATGTATATGGGAAAAAGTCTACCACATAGGTAGTGATCTATCTCTGCTTAGAAAAGCAAATGCAAATTTACATAGCTTTATGAAAACGTTAACTCTTGTGGAGAGTACAGAAACAAAACAGCTAATGCAAGGTTTTGAAAGCATAGAAAAGGAATAAGAAGGTCTTTGTGCAGGTCTATTGATGTATCATGCACCTGCATCTTGAGTACAGGATGCAGTTTTGCCTTCTACATCTTTGATAAGATACAGGAGAAGTAAAAGCCTACCCAAAGATGATCAAAGGCATAGAAGGACTTGCCTACAATTAAGTGACTAAGCAAAGCAGGATTCTTCAGCCTCAGAAAGAAGTTTGTATAGCTAGAAGACTGTCATGGAGAAAATGAAAGGAGGCTAACTGCTCTCTGTCTCTCAGGATACAAGGATCCAACTATGTGGCAAATTATAAGCACAGAAAAAGTAAATTTTAAAATGCAGAAAAATTACAGAGCAAACACTTACACTGTGGAACTTATTGTACTGGGCTGTGTATTTGTATTGTACAGTTAATGCATGGCCACTGGAGAAGCCTGACTGTGCAGGAGATTCAGAAGGACCTAAAGCCCCAGAGATGTCCAGAGGAGAATGCAAGCAGGGTGATATCACATATGTCTGAGCAATTCAAAGCAGACATTTAAGTATTTAAAAAGTTTTGGTCTAGGCATTTTCAATCTAAACAGTAGTTAAAAGCTACATCTGTGGTACAGCGATTTGCCAAAGTTCTACGTTGGCTCAGAGGTCAAAGCTAATACAGACACAACACAGAATTTTGGAAGTACACAAGCCAGGCTCAGTGGCTGCATTTGGGCACCTTGGTTGCAGACACTGAAGCCGGAGGAGCTCAGGAGATGAACCAGTGCTCAGGTTGCTGTCCTTCTGTAACAGATTACTACAGTTGTTGTAGTGTTGCTGGGCCAGTGGAAAATGAGGGAGATGCTCACCTCTTACCACCTTTGTGATTTTTCCCCAGTGCAACAAGAGAAGGGTTACAGCAGCTTACAGGATGAAGCAGTGAAGATCTTTAACTCCCTTCAGGAAATTGAGACAGTGTCTGATCCTATACCCATAATCCAAGGCATCCTGCAGACCTGCCATGATTTAAAGCCCCTTCGTGATGAAGTGTACTGTCAGCTCATCAAGCAGACTAACCACATGCCACATCCCAACAGTACTGGGAATCTGCACCACTGGCAGCTGATGTCCTGTATGAGCTGCACTTTCCTGCCCAGCAGAGGGATCCTGCGCTACCTCAAGTTCCACCTTCGGAGGTAAACATCCCTTTCATTTGCAGCCTGTTTCCTTTTGATCTGCTAATCTTCCACTGCCTGTTGTAGTTACCTGTCTTGTCCTCCTCCTGTGCAAACATCTTCCTGTGGCATTCCAGCACAATTCTTGGTACCAGTTGTTCTGTGTGTTCACACTCCCCCCCCAACCACCCATCTGTTGTGTTAAAAGGATGTGGAACCTAAGTTACCCAAACAGAATACTGTAAGACTCTGTTTCAGTGGATTTACAGCTGATGACCTACTGTTACAAATGTCCATATCAACATTATCAACCTGCAGGAAATGTGTGGACTGTACTTTCATACTCATTGAAATATGTACTACCTTGCAACTGGCACAGGCAAAATATGTACAGTGGAGGAGGGGATGTACTGTAAATCCAATTTATAATATTTCAATATTTGTTCATTTAACTAAGCTCATAGTGCTTACAGTTAATATTTTTAACCTGCTTTAATCTCACATTTTCATGAACTATATAATTTACGTTTTTTCCCAGTTCATTTTCAGCATCTAATGCAGCTTTCCAAAGCAGTCTGCATTGGGGCTGCAGCTGTGTAACCTCATTCCATTCTGAATGATGAGAAAGATCGTTAAAACCTATTAGATTCCTTCCAAGCTAAGAATGAGTCTAGTAAAAGCAGGTTATATGGTTTAGGAAGTAAGCTTGTTTTTTCTGTGGTTGTACTTGACATCACTGTCTCTCCTGAACTCTTTATTTGAAGTAGTCCAATTTATAGTAACCTATTGTTCACTGTGTAATGGGGTTTTTTTTTTGCTTTGCTTTACAATTAGGGTAAAAGACCTTTTTCCAGGCTCAGAAATAGACAGGTATGCGCAATTCATAAGTGATTCCCTGAAGAGGACAAAGACAAGGGAGTTTGTGCCCTGCCAGGAGGAAATACAGGCTCTTCTCACCCGTGAAGAAATGACCACAACGGTGTACTGCCATGGCGGTGGCTCCTGCAAAATAACCATCAACTCCCACACCAGCGCTGGGGAGGTAATGCATTGGTAGCCTTAACGAGATGTGAGCACATCTGTGTCTGGATAGTGGGTCTGTTGAAGGGACACCCTCTTCCCACTCATCTCTAATATAATTTTTTTAAAATTGCAACATTTTTCTGTATCTGTAG